GATAGATTCTTTATCATGAGTCTTCCATCAACAGTAAGCTTATAACAACACTGAAAAACATACTTGAAAACCGAAAAACTGCAAAAAGAAGGGGCTATTTCTAAGGGGCAGGTTTTGTTTGCTTGGTTTGTTTTTTCTAGAAGAGGTAAAGTGATCAGTGAAGCAAGGAGAAGCTAGGGTGAGGGGAAAAAAAAACCCACAACACACTGAAAGAAGCTGCAGTAGAAAAACAGAGCTGTCAGGTCAAGCATTTCAAGAAGATGGTATTCCATTTAATTCTTACAGGAGGAGAAAGGCAAATAGCAAAACATCTTCTGAAGAAAGATGGTTAGAGTTGCCACCAGGATTGAACAAAAAATGTAACTTTTAAATACAAGAAAACGTCCTATGTATTCGCATTAGACAGGAGGGTATATTGCACATAGGCTGCATTACTGTTCAGACTATAGTTTCACTTCAGTACTTCCTTGTTGCTAGTGCTAAATACTGCCATGGAACAGACACAAGCACTGTTTAGAGGCTGCACCACAAAAATTCTGACAGGCTACAAACATTTCAAGCATACACGTAGAACAAATATTTAAACCTCTCACAGGTCATCACAACATAACAAATACACCATCAATACCAAACACTACTTATTTCTATCTCCCGAGGACAGCAGTTTTGACAATTCTAATGCTACAGTCATGCTTACTGAGTTTATTCTGGTTATGTTAAGCACTGGGAACCAACCAACTCCCCAAAAAGTAAAGCAAATACAATGTTAATTCAAACTCTAAAGAAGTGCGTATTGTTTTAAAAGCAACTGTGTTGCACATAAACAACATAGGCCATGTTGTAGATATCATTAATACCAAATTCTGTAAATATAACATGTAGCATGCCCAAGAGCCACTCCAGGAATCCCACCTAGCAATGTGTTTGGATTATTTTATCTCCAAAACTGCATTTCTTTATTCTAATTCAGCAGAAGAAACAAACTCTTGTGCAAACAAATCAAGGAGACAAAGACTGAGTATAGATCAACATTATTCCCAAACTGGACATATCCCTAGTGTCAGCAGGATTTATCCAAGACCATAGATCTACATGGATATCAGCAATAGCAGATCTCTTATTATTCACAATCATGATTAAAACCAAAACAATTCAGCTGCAATTATTTTGATCCGATAGTCCTTTTTGACCCAGCTGGTGTTTAGCAGAACATCCTGCAACTTGGAAATAAATTTTGTTTGCAAACAATTGAGAAACTAGGAGGACCCATGATGCAATTCTTGCAGCGTAGCCCATGCTTAAAGTGTTGGGGCAACGCCTCCCAAATCTACCAAGTGGAGATGCCTGTTATGTAGCTGCCTTTTTGGTGGTCTGTGTTGATTCAGAAGCAATCAGCTTATTCATACGAAGACAATCGCATTATGGCAAACGTCATTTCACATGACTACATATATTACAGATAGCTGGATAAACATTAAGCTGTTTCTTCCATAGGGAAAAAGTCTGAATCTTAGCTATTTCCTACGATAGCTACTTTACAGCTACCAGAGCATAATTAACTTCACATCTCAGTAATTTGTTCTTATCTACTCTAACTTTCCATTTTTTCAGTTTTGCATCACAACACAGGTCTTGAAGGAATAAGGAGAGCAGTTGCTTCCTTAACTAATGTAAAAGGCCGTGAGGAAAAATTGAGAAGAGCAACTCAGAATAATCTAAGTTCGCATACCTCGGCTCCAGTAATTCCTGCCTTCTTCACTGCAGGCTAACTGGTCACAGTTTGCCATCTCTCCTTATACAAGTACCGCTACAGAATAAACAACCTGGAAGCCCTACAGTACAGTTACATGTAGAGGCCTGAGCCACTTTAACACTTGGCCGTTAATAAAAGATGTAGATGTACCACCTCAGCCCACTCTTTTATTGCCTGTTGAAGGGTAAAGATCAAATTCTTTTACTTTCAGAACAGCTTCCTCCCCACTGACCCCTCTTTCATCAGAGCCATATCCCCCACCAGGCTCCCAACACCGCTCCCACTCCACATCAGCTTCCCGGCGCCAAATTCCCAGCCCATGCCACAGCACTCTGCAGCTCTCCGGCAGACCTTGGCAAGGGACAGAGAAGGACTGCAAAAAGCCACCCCGCTGAAGTCCAGCCAGGTACAAGTATAATATATACATAACAGGTATCGCACGCTGTACTGATTCATGCCACTAACTATAAGGCTGTACCCCCAACATCACATATATCGCTGACTGTGAAATGTGGACAGCTGTGTAAGGATACGTAGCAACTTCAAAGCACTAAGCTATATGAAGTGACTGACATAAGCCTGCAATAACTGGTGCTATCGCTTATGGTGTTGCAATTAGTCTACAATATTCCAGCTTATGAAAAATCAAATGTTACTGCTACCCCTGCACTAATGTTAACCTGTTACACCTTAGCTGACATTAAGAATTTCAACTGAAGAACAACAAAACAGGCTTATTTTACTTTAGAGGCAACAAGGAATACACCCATTTAAACTGCATTCTGTACAAAGCCAAATTATTGAAAGCTTTCTCCAAGGAACAATACGAGATCTTAATTTGTTCAAATCATCAGTAAAAAGAGATTAGCTTTCCAGATAAATAGCTTCAGAAACCAGTTTATTTTCTGAGCTTCGTAAACTGTACTTTATTTGAACTTAATTTCAAGGAGTTTAAACTAAAGCAGGAAATTAGCCCTCAGCAGCACAGCCAGATTCAACCTCAGCATCTAGAGGACAAATTAAAAACAAAACAAAACCAAAAAAGTCCTCCTTGCCAAAGAACATAATTCTGCTGTCTCATTAGTGTTTTGCTAAAATAATTTAATTAGCAGTCTTCAGATACAGGAAGGCATTTATGCTTCATCAGGAAAAGAAGGGCTGGGGGGGTGAATGGTACACGCTGTTCTAGCATACCAGGAACACAGCCTTGAATTCTTCCAGCTATCGGGCCAAAGCTGGATTGGCATACCAGAACTAAGCACTTTTTTAATCCAAAGGGAAAAAAAAATATGTACCAGGCAGTCTCATATTTGCATAGTCTTAACTGCAAATAAGAAGAAACAGTTCAGCTGAGGAGCAGTGCTGAGGTATAATAGGTGAATTGGATACTGTGCTTCACCCTCCCACGCACAAATTAAAGTCCTAAAACCACCCTGGTCCCCATCTTTCGTTACGTTCTGCTCTTGTGGGTGCTGACATTTGTCATTAGGGCATCCTGTAACTGAGGCTTTTATACATAGCCATTTAGGCCAATTCCCCTAGGTTACTCTGTGAGACAGCATATCTGATTCCTGCAATAAAGTAGTAGTCTAGGCTAATTTCAACATATGTTTCCTCTTTAGAAACTTTTAGATGGGAAGCCTGCTGACAGCGGGCCTGCCCTCTAGATCTGCAGGACAGCAGAGGCCCCTACAAAGAAAGCACTACCCTTTCATAAAACTAGTTCTTTCCTGTGGTTTACTGCCTACAGCACTTCATGGCTCATCAGTACCACGCACAGGTACCCTACGCAGGCAAAAGCCTGTGCTTTTGCAAATCCTTGTCACGAGAGCACTTCTACTATCGAATCAGAGGAGTGCTATCCACAGCCCCAGTTCAAATTTCTCATTAGGGTAGGAGTAACCAGCTACTGAACAAAAAACTGAATTATAGTTTAGCCTGAAAATCCCTGGAATTTGGGAATAAACTGCTTCTCAACCCCTTTTTGGCTCAGATATCAGCTGCATGCATCTGTACACAGGCATTGCTATAGCTCTCCAGTCCATTTTAGCCATATAAAAATAATTTTGCAGGGCCAAACTGTATTTTAACTTCAGCAGCATAATCCACAGGTGGATAGGATAAGCCAAGTCTAAATGAACTAGCAGAGTTTGAATCGCTAGTTGAGACTAGCTAAAAATATTGCCATGATGCATAAACCCAAATAGAAACCTGCTCCATCTTCCAGGGCAGTATCAATTCTGCAGTCCCAACAGGTGTAAAAAATAATTCATCTTTGTCACTAAACTTTATGAATATGCAGGACAGGGAGGAGAGCTGTCAACAGAAAAGGGGCCATTTGTACATAAATGCTTCCACGCTGCAAACCAAATTTAAAGGTGCCAGGGTACAGAGCCATAAGAAGCCAGTTTCTTCACCCAGAGGTTTCCAATGATCCTATAAATTCATTACTGCAAAGTTTGTCCCTATATTTCCTATGCAAAGTGTTTCAGTCATCTGAGGAAGGCTTTGAAACTTGGCCCACACTGAAAGACAAGCCTTCCCTGAAAACGTGGTTTTAAAGTACGAAACTAGTTAGACAGTGTCTGGGTACAAAGATCACATTTGTTTTGACTTAGTTCCTCAAATCCTTTGAATACCAGTTCAGAGCACATACTCTATAAAACGCTCGTGAGAACTGGCACGTTCACTCAGGCACATATTGATGAACCGCTATTTACAACTACTACCATGTACGTGCCTTTTTATTGTAAATAGTGGGACTTGCAAGAACAGACACCAGAAGATCCTCAAGCTGCTAAGAGCTGCTGAATAAACAAGGGTAACATAAGTGATTTTTCCCCGCTGCCTCCCATTTGAACTGCACAGGCTCAGCCGTGCGCAGAAAATTGCTTGTTTCCTGCCAGCCTCCAGCCTCTGCATCCCTCTTCTCTGGGTGGGAGCAGGGAGGGGAATTCAAGGGGGGGTTCTTTTGTTTGTTGCATAAATAAATGCAGGTAAAACAACTATTTCAAATGAGCAAGTCCTTCATAAGACAATTTTATCAGAGTCTTCAGACAATAAAGGAGATTTATTTTCCCAGCTTCCCCCCCCATACACACCGCTTCCCAAACAGCCCTCCATGCCACAGGGCAAGCTGAGCCCCAGCATCTGTAATTAATGGCTTTGCATACTTATGTCTGAAGGTTGCAGGTCGGCCACAGCGTAACAGATACCCACACGCAGGCAAAGAGGCAAATGCGCTTACCCGAGAGATAGACAGAGGCACGTTGAAATCCTTGCCCCCTTGAAGTCTGAAACCCCACGGAGCCGGGCCGACCAAAGAGACGCTGTAGTTGCTCATGATGTTCAGTATTCAAGGATCAAATCCAAAGAACTGATGCCTGCAGAAGAGGATTAGAGCTTTAATTTAAAGACGATAAAAACAAAAGGCACTGTCTACCATTCTGAAAACCTTCTTTCTTTGTCTGTGTTCCCCTCCATAGTACAAAAACAACCAAAAAACACACATCAGGTCTGTCATGATTTGTGCTTTTATTCCTCATGTGTTGTTTTCCTCCATAGTTTAGGAAGAAACCTAACCAGGGAACTGGTAACATGGACTTGGAGAACTTCTGGTGCTGAGATGTTTGACAACTGCTTCTTACTAACAACATACTGGGGAGGGGAGGAAATAACCACTGAACATTAAAGCTCATCTTAAAAAAGAAAAAAGTCAATGTTCAGACAAGCATGAATTGATAGTATCCCTTAAATACAAGCATGGAATAAATTAACACAACTGGCACGTTCATTTCTAACAAAATGAATATCATATGCTGTCATGTCACCAGCTCCAAGCTTGTTTCTAAATACATTATGTCTCGACAGTTTCAAAATGACACGAAAACATCACAACTTCGAAGTTAATCAGAAGAAAATAAAATGCCTATGACTATATTTTTATAGCATAGCTTCGTATTGGTAGAACAATGCTACAGACAAAACAGATATTAAAACCAACCCTCAAATGAAAGCTGTGAACTAAAGCAAAATACCCACGGCCACAACTCAATGCTGAGGAAGCAAAACCCAAGCATCTCCCTCCCCACAAACGCAGGCAACAAATTACCTTTAAAAGGCAACCGAGGCTCTTAATTGCCGTTCAGCGTCAAAGATAAGGGCTTCAGTTTCACCTCAGATAAGTAACGTTACAATGACATCTTAGGTAGCGGGTGCTGTCTATTTTTGTATGGCTGAAGCCAGGCAGGAGCACACCAGGGCGAGCTGGTGTAAGACTACCCCGGGGCACAGCCAGATTCCATACTCGTCCAGGGACATTTCAGCCGGACCTTCAGTCGAACAGAAACAAGCGGGCTGCAAACCCCACCGAGCTCCGCAAAGCCCGGGTTTAGCTGTTCACACACCGTAGGAGGGCTGTATTATTTTTTCGGAGGCGGTGGATTTTTGCAAACGCAGCCCACCCTCGGAGACCATCAGAGCGGGGCTGTCACGCAGGAAAGGACATTTAGTGTCATTCCCTGAGAAAGCCATCGGTAACACACGTCTCTGGGTTCACCTCTCGGGGTCGCAGAGAGCCGCTGCTCAGACTTCTTTCTAAATCAAGTAGTAAACTTTATTCACACCGACAGCCACTCAGGTAACCAGAACGGGGCTGCTGGCACTGGGCAGAACAAGATATCCATTAGGAAGCAGAACGTGGAGCTGGTTACAGAGGTGCCTGGGTACCTGGGCAGTACCTGACGTGCCCCTGCCTGTTGGCATCCAGCAAAGGGGCAGCTCTGACCAACCCACCCTTAAAAGTCTCAACAAGCACCAACGTACAGAGGGGGAAACGCACAGCGCTGAGCTTTTGTGGGGCTGAAGAAGAAGAAAAGAAACAAAAAGCCTCCACCAAGTTTGAGCTAGGACTCTTAGGGGGCTCATTCACCACTAAAGCATGAACTACAAGTCATTTAATTGCTCTGTGCACAGAATTCCTTATAAAAAGGGGATTTTAATTAGTCACAGATTTCTTTCCATAGAAAAATACAAATTCTCTTCATTCCCTCTAACTGAAATCCACCACAGCGACAGGTCACTATAAATTAGAGACAGCAGAAAAGTAAAGTACAGCTAGTGACCAGCAGACATGCAGTTTATTGGCTTTACCTATCAGTTGAAACAAAAGCACTTGTGTAGTGTTTTCTTTTTTTTTTAACTGAGTAACAGCTAGTTACAATAACAGACCTAGGAAAAGATTAAGTTATATTAGGAAAGGATACTGTTCTTTTTCACTGGTAGCAACTACAAATAGGAGGGAAGAGACTGCATGCTGAAATGCCATGCATCACACTCATCATCACTCATCTTTCCTTTCTCACCCCCTCGATTCTGCCATGTCTGCATCTCTAGGCTTACAGATAACACCAGGACAGAACGGCAGACAAAGGAGATTTGTTGATTCGTTCAGAGTTTAATTTAACAGATTTCTTAAAACATGCTAGAGCAACAACAGCAACCCACCAACCCCACTTCACAGGGGGAGCGTTGCGCAAACAAACCCGCTAAGGGTGAAATTGTGCCACTTTCGCCGAGACGATCAAACACTTGGTGGATCTGCTTCTGGAAGGGGGAATTTCAAAACCCAGGCAGAAATGCTCGCCTTCACCACTGCGCACCCCAGGGCACAGAGCTGCAGCGGGGGGGCGAGCAGTGCCCTCCTGTCCCCCCGGAGGGGTGGCTGTGCCTGAGGAGGGGACAGCGCCAGCACAAGCCCCCGGCCCCC